GGCGGCGCGGCGGCCGTTCTCTGGGAAGCCTCCGGCCTGGCCGGCTTGCCGGTGGAGGCCCAGGCGGACGGGCTGCGGGCGCGCGCCGCGGCTTGGCGGGCCTTCCCGGAGGCTCAGGCGGCGGTCGCGCAGCTGGAGGCGGCAGCGCGCGACCCGGCCGCCCTGGGCCCCGCGGCGCTGCTGGCGGGGGCCGCGGCCCTGGGCTCCTAGGGAGGGCGCCGCTGGACCGGGACGAGCGCCCCGCAAAGCCGGGGCGCCAGGCGTCGGCCGCCGGCCGCGCCTCTTTTGCACTGCTGCTGCTGCTTTTGCTTATCCTCTTGCTCTCCCCCCCCTTGCTGCTCTCCTCTCTCCTCCTTAGCCACGGGGCGACCTTCTCGCGCAAGTAAAAAAAATGTGTCCCAGGGCCCCATTCAATGAAGAGTTCGTCCGGGGGGGTAGGCCCCTGGGTCGTGGACCCGTTTCCCTCAGCACCCGTATCCCCCATGCTAAACTTGAGTCGGGCACGTCCCTCTACAGGAGGAATATTCAAAGATAGCTTATTATCATTCTTATTTTTGAATAAAAACAGAAAAAACATAGCCTGGAGACGATGCTTACATGACTTGTTATTATTCCTGAGTTTTTCTTGTTACTGCTATGTTTCGTTTGTCCTCCAAAATCCGCCCAGTCGGGGGACCTGCCCGACCCGATGCTGAGCTCAGGGCGGGGGGCGCGTGGGCCCCGGGTCGCCCACCCGCCGCCGAGGGGCGGGCTCGGCGGCCCGCCCCCGCCCGGCAGCCCGAGCGGGGTTTCGCCCTATGGGGGGTCTGCTCTGCACGCCCGAAATGGGCACTGAAAGAGTGGGTACGATGCCCAACAGCAGCTCTTGTTCATTCTGCACAGGACTCGCTGTCCACGCCGCCGCGGCCTGTGCCCATTCGAGACAGGAGGTCGCCCGCCCAACAGCGGCCGCTGTCGGCTTGGGACAACATATTGCTGTTGGGCATTGTGCCCATTTTTTCGGTGCCCATTTCGGGCGTCCAAATCTGCCGCCGCTCTTGTCGGCGAGGCATCGCCGCTTCGGGCTCGGCGCTGGGCTGATGTCGGGCGTGTCCCCCTACAGGGGGATTTCCGACGAAAAATAAACAAGATTCCAAACATGCCCCCAAAAAGAACGAAAATATTTTAGAAATGGTCCCCAGACCAGTTTGGGATTATGTTTGGATTCTTTCTGGATGTATTTTTTCTGTTTCGTCGAAAAATCCCCCTGTAGGGGGACAGGCCCGACTGAACGCCAGGCCCCACCCCCGCCTGGCCGTGGGCCGCCGCGAGGGCGCCGAGGTGCTCGCGGTGTTCCTCGCCCTCGCCCTCTTCTCGCCCTCCTCGTCCTCCACCAGGGGGGGGCGGATGGGGGCGCGGCGCGAGAGAGCGCGAGGTGCCCCGCGCGCTCCGCGAGAGGCGCATCCACCAGGAGGGGAAGAAACACACAGACACAACTAACTGTCGATTCCCTCCAAAAATATGGGAAACTATGGGAAGTGGGGGGGAACACAGAAACCCAGAAAATATGGGAAAATATTGGGGTTCCTTTTATTTGTGTGTATTTAGTTGTGTGTCCTTGGGCCCCTTGAGTCCGCCCGAACTTCGCCGCCCCTGGCTGGAGCGCCGCCCCTCACGGGGGGGGGGGGGGACACACCGCACACCGCGCGGGCGCCCTCGCGCTGCCTTCCCGGCGCCGGGGGCCCACGGGTAATTACTGCGGGCCGGCTCTCCGCGCTCCGGCGCTGCGGCGGCGCCGGGCGCGGACGGTCCAGGGTGTCTAGGCTCAGGAGGGGAAGAAACACGCAGACACAATGAATCGTCGATTCCCCCCCAAAAACAAATATTGGAAAATATGGGAAGTGGGGGGGAAGGCAGAAACCCTGAAAATATGAGGAAATATGGGGGATTGTTTTATCTGTGTGTATTTATTTGTGTGTTCCAGGGCCCCTCGTGTCTAGGCGTCCCAGATGGCCAAGCCCCTGCAAACGGGGTGTTAGTAGACGGGGTGGTAGCTCAGGGTCCTCTAAGAGCGAGCGCAGGGTGACAGGGCATTGATCTCGCACTGGTGCGTGATATAATTCGGGACGGGAAAATCGTCGACACGTATCATATATCCTGGGCGGGGGCATTACCTCGCACTTGCGCGCGGCAAATCAATTTTCCGAAGGCGCAGTGGAAAACGCACCCTGAGCTACCACTTCGTTTGCAAACACCCCGTTTGCAGGGGCTTTGGATGGGGTCGGAGCAGACTGGGTCGGAGAACGGCGCCGCATCACGGATGCATCGGCGATGCGGCTCGATGCGGAGCCCGACGTTCTCCACCCCAGCGTCACCGAGGCATCGCCGACTCGGCCGATGCATCGCCGATGCATCGCCGAGGATCGGGGTCAATTTTTTAACACCCTCGCGGTAACGGGCGTGAGCGGGGGGGAGGAGGGGAGGGGGAGAGGGGGCTGGTCGCGTCACGGTTCGCGCTGGCGCGGCCTGGGCATGTTCAGGAATGGCTCATTCCCACGCGGCGCCGGCGCGAATCGTGATTTACCAGCCTGGAACATATCCTTATCCCTATGCTGGGCATCTCCTCATCACGATGCCAATCTTAGGGATGCCCTTGTTTTTTGAGGGCGCGTCCCTAAGAGTGTCATCGCCTTTTGGCTTGTCCATCTTAGGGATAGGGATAGGTTCGAGGCTGGTAGGTGACGTGATCGGGGTGGGGGTGTGCACGGGCGTCATCGCGAGTGAAAAAGCAGTGGCCTGGACCATTCGGCGACAAGCGAGGGGGGGAATTGAGAAGGAGAAGGCCTTCTCAGAAGGCGGCGGGACTTCTCCGAAGCGCTCGCGCCTTCTGAGAAGTTTTCTTTTGTCTTCGGGGGAGGCTTGGAGAACTTCTCAGAAGAGTCCGGGGGACTTCGGGCCTTCTGAGAAGGTACGCCCCTTCTCACTTCCCCCCCGGGCCCGCCGCTGAACCATGACCTCGAGGAGCAGCAGAAAAGTCGGAAGAAGCATGAGCTCTCGGAGCTCCGCACGGATCCCCCCGGCGCGCGGAGCGCGTCAGGAAAGGGGGTCGCCAGCGCCGATCCGAGAGATCCGCGCGGCCCAGCGAACAAAAATAATGGTCAATCGTGTGTGTCTTGTTCCTCCTGGGACCATGGCCACCATTGAGGGAAATCTCGCCAGACAGATCCCCACGGTCGACGAGCGCTCGAGACTGGGCGGGGCGACCCCCGCGGTGTCCGATCCCAATGCCGGCATCGCTCAAGCATGTGCATTCGGGGCTCAAGAGACGGGGGTCAATGCAAACAGCGGGCAGCCAGGGCCCCGGATCCTGCAGGATCCTGCGAAGACCCCCTCTGGCTGACCCGGGTTAGCGAGTCGCTCGTGGCCGCGAGGCGGCCGCGCATATTGGCTGACCCGGGTTTGCGAAGACCTGCGTGGCAGTTTTTTTTTCTACTGCATGCATTGCAGTTTTTGGGTTTCCTGCTGACCCGGGTCTGGATTGACCTGGGTCAGAAGATCCCCGATGTATGCTATGTGTGCGTCGGTCCCCCAGGGACGACGCGCGCGTTCTCAGACATCTTATGATCTATGCTCGGCGATGGTCAGTTTAGGTCGTGCGTGCCCCCCTACAAGGCAGATTTTGGACGAAAAGTAAAAAACAGTCAAAACGTTGGTCCAAAAAATGTTCCCCAGACTATTTTCGGCTATTTTTGAGCATTCCTCGTGTAGAGGGACTCGCCCGACTTAATGGTCGTTGTTTTTGCATACCACCTGGGTGAGGTTGGCGTATTCGATGCATGTGCTAGATGTTCAAAGGGGGCCCTATAGTACTAGCGTGTCCTTCTGCGTTCCATGCAGCGCGCAAGCCGCCACGAAATGATCCTGCTGCAGGTGCCCTTTTTGTTCCACGTGATGAGCCGCGTGAGCGGCCCGCCGCAAGCGTGAGCCATCGCGTAAGGTCACCGCGTCCACTCGCGCAAGGCTCTGATTGTCACCACCCAGCAAACCACCCCAGCCCAAAAGGAAGGCCCAAACGTACCCTCGAATTCCAGTGTGGGGGTCGGGGTACATCGAAAAACACATCTGGAACCCGCCCCCCTCCCCCAGCCCGAGACTTGGGTCTTCGGGTTAGGTCGGGGTGGCCTGATAGGTCGTCAGAGTGTCTAGTTGTTCACGGGTCACATCCTCCCTTGACGACCTCCGCGCGCCGAAGGGATGCGAATCCCGCGCTTCCCAGACCTGGGAGCACGCTTAGACGACTCCTCAACAGGCCCGGGGACTTCCGAGCCCTCTGAGGAGACCCGCCCCTTCTCATTTTCCCCCCTCGCTCGCCGCCGAGTGAAACGTCACGAAGTCCGAGGTCTCGGCCACGCCTGATCTTCCCTCCATCCGTTTGCCCTGCCTCAGAGCCCCCCCCCGCTTGCCACTCGCCGACTCTGAAGGGGGACGACGACGACGACAACGGCGGCGGCTGGCGGCGACGACTACGCTAACGTTGGCCAGAGTCCTCAGGGATGCTTCTTGGGGGTTCTTCGGAAGGCTCTCGGGAGCATCTGTGGGGGAGTTCTGGGGCTTTGGGGGGGCCTCTTGGGGGCCTCTTGGGACCCTATTGGGGGCCTCTTCGGGCTTCCTCGGGCCCTTCCCCTCATTTGTTTTCGTAACTTCCCAAGTCTTCCCCGTCTCCTCCTCCTCCTCCTCCTCCTCCTCCTCCTCCTCCTCCTCCTCCTCGTCCATCCCTACGTATCGTATCGTCTTCAGCCTGCCGTTCCTCTTCTTGCCCTGCTTCCCCTCCATCTCGCTCTCCCCCCCTCTCCTCCTTCCACCCTCCCCTCCTCCGCCTTGTCGCCGCTCTTACCCCTCCCTGCCACCCCCTCCCTCCCTCTCGCTCTCCCCCTCCCTCCCGCTCTTCCCCCTTCCTCTCGCTCTCAGCCTCCTCCCTCTCGCTCTCCCCCTCCCCCTCCACTCCCACTTATTGTCGCCAATCTCCCTCCTCCCTCCCACGCCCTCCCCCGCCCTCCTCTTCGGGGAAACGTACGGCTCGAGCTCGCCGGAACTCAGGTTTGGCGACGCTCTTTGACGAGCCCGTCCCGGACTTTGACTGTCCACTTGCTGTGGGATATCTGCAGCGGGAGCTCGCGCCAACATTCAGACCAGGTCTCGTCAATCTTCCTGACGGCCCCAGCAGGCCAACCCGAGTCTCCCGACCCCTCCTCGACGGGTGGGCGTGCCAGGGGGGGGCCCTTGGCAGAGCCAGCAGCCATGGCGCGCACCCCGCTGATGAGCTCGCTTGCCGTGCTGGCGCTCCTGGCGTTCGGCCTCCGCTGCGCCTTCGTGCCGGCGCCCGAGGCCGGGCGTGGCGGGGCAGCGCCTGCTCTCGCTCCTCCTCGGCGGCGGCCAGCCCGGGGGGTGGAGTGAGGAGGGGGTGGGCCTTCTCAGAGAGCTCGGACGGCCTCGGGCCTTCTTTGCAGCTCTTGCGTCTAAGTCTTACGCCGGACCCGTCATTCTACAGGAGGGATATTCAACAATAGTCCAACAAATCGTATGGAGACTTGTTTCAGCATTTGTTGACCATGTTGGGGATATTTTTTGACTGAAATTTCATTTGTCGTCGAAAATCCCCCTGTATGGGGGACACGCCCGACTTAATCTAAGCTTTCTTCGACGACGCAGAAAGCTGCTCAGAAGGCCCGAGGGCTTCTGAAGAGCCCCGCTGCCTTCTATGAAGGCCTACTGCTCCTCACATTCCTCCCCGGGCGCGCCGCCGACTTGCGCTTGCCCTCCTCTGTGGGCCCCCAGCGGAGCCCGCAGGGTGTGCCGCTTCCAGTGGAGCCAGAAGCGGGGCTCCAGTGGAGCCAGCGGAGCCGCGTATCCGATATCTTGGCATCGCTGGGACGTGTCAAATCATTCCTTCGGCAAAGACCATCGAGGAGCATCCATCCTTGATCACATGGCGAAAAACAACCGCAAGAAACCGACAACAGACACAGGGAATGGACGTCCGAGCGATGGCCAGATGTCGAAGCGCGGATTTCTTGGATCGGCGCTGGGACCCCCTGGCGGCGCCTCAGGCGCCGCCCCTGGCGCGCCTCCGCGCGCCTGGGAGAGGGCCTCCGGCGCCGATCCATAAGAAGTTCGCCCGGGCCTGCGATGCCGTTCCTTCTTTCTCGATGTTCGTTCTTCGGAGGAGCAAGGAGCGACACCACCACCACCACCACCAGGGGTGCAACCTGCAGCGAGGAGGACCACGAGGCCTCCCCGAGACGGAGATTCAGGGGGTGTCTCGAGCAGGGATAGAGGGAATCCCACCGCCGGCAGGCCCCCCCCCTGTTTCGTCGCGCTGGTATCGGAGAACAAGAAGCTGCACGGACGTGAACTCCTCCTCCTCCTCCTCCTGCTTATGCTTCGTTCTCTCTCTATGATCGTGGTTGTCTCGCTTTCCCTCGTTTCTCCCTCCGCCGTGCCGCGACGATAGACTGTTTGCTCGCACCGGAAGTGGCCGTGTCGCGTTCCCTTGCTCGGAGATGGGAGCATATGCATTGCCAGTGGCGGGGCCGTTTTTCAATTCCCAGACGTTCTGAGGGTCGGGGGCGACGTCGGGGTGCTGTGGTGTACACTTTTTTCCTTGGTCGCCCATGCAAACAGCGAAACATGTATATACACCAGGGTATCGTATACACCAGGCTCCGCTTCCCTGTGCAAGTCTCAGCGCGGGGCCGGAAAGGGCGTCGTGGTATTTAGAGTTCGGCACAGGTTGTGTCGCGCTCCCTTGTTCCTGCCTCTGGAGCGGAACACTCCATCGCCACTCCCTCCCAAGCTCGTGCGAAGTCACTGGCGAGAACGCGATCCCTATGTATGTTGGGAGGCAGCCCTCGGCGAGGAAAGGATTCCAGAGCGGCGACAGCACGACTCCTGGAGCAGCCCGCGGAGCCCCCGCGGGGCGGCTGGAGCCGCCGCGGATGCACTCCTTGCCGCGTGGACGAGCATCGGGGCGGCGGGGCCCCGCCCCCAAAGCGAGGGGCACCTCCCGGACGCCCGGGCTCCGACCGCTTCCTCTGGGAGCTCGCCCCCCCGTCCTTCCCAGGCATGCGGGGCTCGCTTCGATGCCTCCGATTCGAGTCGATCTAATCTCGATGGCTTCCAGTTCCGATGCGATTCGAGTTCGGATGCCGACTTCTCAGTGTGGCGGCCGACCAACTCTTGCCGATTCCCGCCGATTCGACTCTCCCCGACTCGGTTGCCGACTTCCGCCGATCCGCTTGACTTGGATCGCCGATCCGATTTTTTCGATTCGATTCTGGGAGGCGCCTGGGAAATTCGGGACAAAACTTTCGCCGTGCTCGGGCCCTGGGTGCGGTCGCCGAGCCCTGGGACCGTGAACAGAAGCGGCGCCAGGAGGAGAGGCCGGTCCCCAGGGAGAGGGTTGGGATCTCCAGGGTCGACTATAGACGCAAGAGGGACCTTGGCATCGCTCGGACGTGTGCATTCTTCCGTCGGCGAGGACCATCGAGGAGCATCCTTGATCACTTGCCGAAAAAAAAAACGCACGAGACCGAAACAAAAACACAGGAAATGGGCGTTCGAGCGATGGCCAGTGACCTTTCGCCGGAGGGACCTCCAGTGCGGGCCAGATGGGGCCCCCCGATCGCCGCACTTCGAGGCGGCAGTGGCGACCTGCGCGCTTGTGTGTGGCCCCCCCCCCCAAAAGGCCCCCCAAAGGCCGCGCACCAGAGGTCACTCCTACCCAGGGTCGCTCTTGCGTGTATCAAGCAGTGGCGGAGCGTCCTGGCTGGCCTATAGGCCCACCAAATAATGCTATACTAACCTTTTTATGGTTTGCAAAAGGTGTTCTTAGACCATTTCTGGCGGAGATGGTCTTGTTTTACCGCATCGGGCTTATGTTCTAAGAACATCATTTCTGTTCTTAGAACATTTTTGGGTTCTAAGAACCGTGGTAGGACTATAGGAATGTTGGGACGGTCGGTCCCTGCTCAATAGATGCAAGAGTGACCTTTCGCCAGAGTGACCTCTAGTGCGGGCCAGATGGGTCCCCCCGATCGCACGCGAGGCGGCAGTGGCGTCCTGCGCGCTTGTGTGTTGGCCCCCCCCGCGGCCCCCCAAAGGCCGCGCACCAGAGGTCACGCTTACCCAGGGTCGCTCTTGCGTGTATCAAGCAGTGGCGGAGCGTCCTGGTTGGCCTAGAGGCCCACCAAACAATGCTCTAATAACCTTTTGTGGTTTGCACAAGATGTTCCTAGAACGTTTCTGGCTGGGGCTGTCTTGTTTTAACACATCGGCTTTTTGTTCTACAAGCATTGTTTCTGTTCGTAGAACATTTTGGGGTTCTGAGAACATGTCGTGGTAGGCCTATATGAATGCCGGGACGGTCGGTCCCTGCTCAAGTGTAGCCGACCAGGGGACGCGCTCGGCATGTCTGGGTTGCCGGCTCGTCCGGTCCTCGGGCAGGCCTGCTCGCCAGTTCTCTCGGGTACGGTGGTGGTCCATGCCGAGGTCGGCGACTGCAAAGGGTATGGTTACGCTGGGGTGTGGTTTGCGATCGGCACCGTTGGGCCTAGGGAGCACGACACTGTCCTCGTCGCGGCCTCCTCGGGGCGCGGCGGAGAGCTCTTTCGAGGTCCTCGCCCGCCCCCCAGCACGCCCCCCAGGATGCCCCCAAGGGTGCCAGTTGCAAACCACACACTTTGCAAACCACACCTTCGGAGTCACTGACAAGAAACACCCTGCTTGCCTCCAGGGTGCCCTGGGTTTCTTGGGTTTCGATGGTTTTGCAATGGAGAGCGTGACGTTCCCACGCCAAAAATCAAATGGACGTCCTGGGGTCTCAGGGTCGGGTTCCTTGTGGAAGGTTTCTTGGGGACTGACCTCCACTGTAATTCACCGGGGCTGCAGGGCCTTGGGCTCTCACCTTGGTGCCTGACTGCAGCCCAGGCTGAAGTCATCCTCCTCCCCGCCTCCCCAGCGCCGCGTGGGGGGAGAAAGGCGAGACTTGGCATCGCTCGGACGTGTGCATTTTTTCTTCGACGAGGACCATCGAGGAGCATCCTTGATAGTTAATTTTACGAAAAAAACACGCACGAAACCGAACACAAACACAGGGAATGGACGTCCGAGCGATGGCCAGGAGGAGGGATGGGGCCGAGGGAGGGAGGCGGGGGCAGGAACGCCCTCTCTCTCTGACATCTGCCGACCTGCCTCTCGCAGCCCGCGGCCCCAGGGGCCCCGGGCCTGGCCTTGCTGATGGCCCCCGGGGCCCCCTCCTCCTCCTCCTCCTCCTCCTCCTCCTCCTCCTCCTCCTCCTCCTCCTCCTCCTCCTCCTCCCCCTCCTCCCCCCCCGCCTCATCCTCCCAGATAGGCCGCAGGCGACAGAGAGTCTGCGCATCCAGCGTGCACGGCCGCAGAGGGCGAGATCGGAGATCCCGGCTTCCCTCGCTCTCCCGTCCGCCAGCCAGGGCTCGTGCCGATTCCTCCGCCTCGATTCGGTTTCGGTGGCCTCCGATTCCGATTCGATTCGATTTCGATGGCTTCCGATGCCGACTCGACTCGACTTCGGGTTCCGATCTGGGCTCCGATATTCCTCCGTTGAGGCCTGCTGGCCTGCCGCTTCCTGCCGATGATCGACTTCTCCCGACGTGGCCTGCCGATTGCCGTCAATCCGCTTCATTTCGATCGCCGATCCGACTTCTCGATTCGATCTATAGGCTTAGGCCACATCAGCCGACCCCTCTATAAACTGCTGCGCGTCCAGGACTGCATTCCACGAGGCTTGCCCGATTCATGGGAGGTTCTTGGGGGCGTTTGGGGCTCTGTTCCGGCTACCTGGGGGCTTCTTGGGGCGTGTTGGGGGTTTCTTGAGGCAACCTGGGGGCGTCCTGGGGCCGAAGGCTGGAAATGTGGTTTCGGGGTCACCCCGTGGGCACCCTTTTGGCGCCGTCCGGGGGCTCTCTGGGGCCGTCATCGGGGCGTTTTTGGCGGTCTTGGGACCCTTGTGGTTCGTCTTGAAGCTGTCCTAGGGGTCTCTTGGGCCGTCTTGCACGGTATGAAAGCGCAAGAGGCGAATATGTGTAAGACATGCGTTTTCCTAAGGGACTGGGGCAATTTTCACTTCTTCGGTGCCTTTTGGGAGGTCTCTTGGGGCGTTTTGGAGGCATCTTGGGCCGTCTGGATGTCATCTTTGGCGTTTTGGAATGATCACTCGACGATTCGGGGCCTCTTGGATCGTCTTGGGGCCCCCTTGGGGCCCTCTTGGCCCGTTTTGGAGCCCTCCATGCTCCCATGGCGCGCTCGTCCGGGGCCGGGGGGGGGTCAAATCTCCAGTTTGGGGTCCTTGGGGGGGGGGGGGACGCGAGCTCGCGCTTCATCCAATCTCCTGTCGACGATCCTTTAGCAGCCAGGCTTTTGTACAATCTCACACGGAGACCCGCAAGACGCCGCCAGATTCTGGGCTCGCCCGCCCGGCTGCCGAGGCCAGCTCCGCCCGCCTCCCGGAGCTCTCGCCCGCCGCCGCCGCCGCGGTGTTGGGCGCGGCGCCCGCGCTCGCCGCCGAGATCGACGCCGCCGAGGCCTACAACCGCAAGGTGCCGATCGCCGTCGCTGCCGATCAGCTTCGGGTCAGGCATGTTTTCCTACAAGCGAGTTTAGAATGTTTCACACACACATATATAGATAGATGTGTAGAAACACAAACAAATAAAAGTCACAAGATACTCGAACATCGCCAAACGTACTATAATAATCGCCCCAGAGCATTTTGTTGATTTCTTTTGTATCTTCTCCCTGCAGAGGGGCGTGCCCGACGTAAGATCATCTCCGATCGCCGACCTCGCCGTCGCCGGACGGCGCCACCGTCCAGACACTCCGCCGCCGGGGTGCGACCCAGGCCCATGACCGCATGGTGTCGTCGCCGCCGCCGCCGCCGATCGTCGCAGGATCTCGCCGCCGCCGCCAAACAACGCCAGCCGTGGGTCAGAGGAGAAAAAGATACCCATACCATGCCGCTACCCTCCGCCCGTTTTCCTCTTTTTGGGCCTCCTCGGAGGCCCTCGTCGCCTCCATTGGATTCGCCTCGACATTCTGGTCGGAACGCACCCAGGGAGAGGTCCGGGGAGCAGCGGTATCGGTACCTTTTGGTCTCCGCAGTGGGGATGATCCAGGCCTCCTAGATGGGGTCGGGGTAGATGGGGTCGGAGGATCGCGCCGCATCGCCGATGCATCGGCGATGCGGCTCGATGTGGAGCCCGCCTTGCTCCACGTCGACGTCGCCGGTGCACCGCCGATGTCGCCGATGCATCGCCGATGCATCGCCGATGCACCGCCGATGCACCGCCGATGCATCGGCGAAGCGGCGCGATCCGCCGACCCCCATCTGCTCCGACCCCATCTGGGAGGCCTCTGGATGAGCAGAGTCCAGCGCCGAGGTCGCCGATACGTCGCCGAAGCATCGGCGAAGCGGCGCGATCCGCCGACCCCCATCTGCTCCGACCCCATCTGGGAGGCCTCTGGATGAGCAGAGTGCACCGCCGAGGTGCTGGAGGGCGCCGCCTACGGCGGGATGCTGTGCGTCTTCATGCTCGGCCTCATCGTCCAGGCGCGCGGGGGGCCCGAGCGCCGGAGGGTCTGCCGCCGTCCGCGGGCGTCCCCGAGGTTCACGCCGGGGTGCCCGTGTGCGTGTCGGTCGGTGCGTATGTGTATGGTCGGGGGTGGTGTTCAGTATTTTTGGACTTCTTTGGGGTATTTTTGGTGTATGTTGCATGTTTCGTGGAGAATCCCTCTGTAGGGGGACACGCCCGACATAAGCCCAGGGCTTCTCCGATGGCCTGCTGAGGCCAGCAGGGGCTATCCGGAGATGCTGTCTGTGCGCAGCAGCCCGAGGATTGGCAGGCAGCGGTTGCCACGCTTCTCTTCGGAGGTGGACAGACCACGTACCCTGACACGTCGATTCAGGAATCCGCCGGTTTCGGTTCGCGAGAGGGCGTCGCGGCCGTCATGTTTGCGGATCCAGGTCCGTCGGTTTCGGTCCCATGCCGTTTTTTCTCTGAGGGGAGGTTTACTAAAGGGAGGTTTGTCCACCGCCGAGATGTGCTCGTGTACTTTTGCGTGTGCTCCCGGGCAGGGCAAACGCGATGGCGGGTACTGTATATTGTGCCTTCCTTGCGTCTCGAGTCGCCAAAACGCATGCGGGAGAGAGGGGAGGGATTCTCGACCCCTTTGTTGTCAGAAGGCGATGTGCGACCCGACCCTTGCCCTCGCTACCAAGTCATACCAGGCATCAATTTCAGAGAGTCATGCTCATTTACCTTCAGGAGCTCGTTTCGGTCACTTACATGTCAGAACTTCCAGAATCAACCACGGCAGGTATCCTCCAGATGGCGTCTCAGGTTTCCTGGATGTGGCCCCAGGCTACCACCTGGCTTCGTGAGGGGGGCCCAGCTTCGTCTTGGCCTTCTATGTGGTGCTCCAAGAGGCCCCCATTCGTGATCCTCTTGCTCATCCTGTCGTGAGGCCCTGCCTGTGTACATCGTTTTCTCTAGGCTTTTCTCCCTGATCGTTTCAGAGCTGAGCCGGAGGTGCAGCTTTGCTGCGAAGCTTGGGATGCCGGGATGCAGACTCTGCAGTGCCTCAGGAGCCCCAGGAGAGGCTCGGACTCTCCTGCCTGCCCGCCGTGCCCCCTTTTGCGCAGGCAGGCACCATCCGTATGCACAGCAGACCCGTATAGAGATAACGCTCCGAATGCAGCGCAGCGGAAAGAGAGAGGCGAATTGCAGGGATTAGGGGGTGGAGGCTTTGGTTAGTGAAGCCGATATCCCGTATTTCCCGCAGTCCTTCTCTCCCCCCCCCGTGGCCAGCCCTCGCCCTGTGGATACAGACTATGCAGTGCTTCGGGTGCCCCAGGAGAGGTTCGGACTCTCCTGCCTGCCCGCCGTTGCACCCTTTTGTGCAGGCAGGCACCATCCATTTGCACAGCTGACTCATGTATATATATATATATATATATACATGGGGAGGCGGTCCTGGACCAGGGGGGGGGGGCTCACTTTGCCCAGTGGCTGTGGTCACCCCCCCGCCGGAGACGCCAGGACGTTCCCAGGACCTTCTAAAATTGCTCCAGGACGCCCTCAGGACAGCCCAAGAGAGGTCCGAAGCGGCCCGGGAGCACTCCAATGCGGTTAAAAAGCTGCCAAAGCGTCCCAGCAGGTCTCCGACAGCACTCCCGGGAGGGGCCCAAGAGGGAATTGTCATTGATTTTTAGTCGGTTTTTGAAGGGTTTTGGCGTTCTCCCCAGTTCGGCTTCCAGACGCTCCAAGACGGCCCAAGAGGCCCGAAAGATCGCCTCAAGACGAGCCAAAAGGCCCTCAAGAGACCACCGAGACAGCCCAGGAGGGCCCCAAGACGGCCCAGGAAGCTTCCAAGACGGCCCAAAAGAGCTCCCAGAACACTCCAAGAGGAGCCCCAGATGGGGAACACGAACTGACATTTCGAGCCCTCGCCCACCAGAAGCTCCCAAGAGGCCCCCAGGAGTCCACAAGAGGCCTCGAGAGGCCCCCAGGAAGCTCCAAGAGGCCTCCAAAAGGCGCCGAAAGGGCCCCGCAAGGCTTCCAGACGCTGGTGATAATGACAATAATGATTATGCAGGGCGGCCTCAGGCCCACAACCTAAATCCCCAACACTGCTCACGCGGCATGCAAGACGCTGCGGAGATATCCTCGAGTTCGGCGGGGGAGCTTCGGAGACGACGGTGACGAAGATGATGACGATGCTGACGACTATTATGAAATTGACGACGACGATGATGATGATGAAGATGATGATGATGAGGAAGCAGATGATGATGATGATGATGATGATGATGATGATGATGATGATGAGATGATGATGATGATGATGATGATGATGATGATGATGATGATGATGATGATGATGATCATGATGATGATGATGATGATGATGATGATGATGATGATGATGTTGACAGTGGGAATGGTGATGATGGTGATCGTGATGTGAGTGATGGTGATGATGATGATGATGATGATGATGATGATGATGATGATGGTGGTGATGCTGGCGATCATGATGACGATGACGGTGATGCCGTTGAGGATTGTGATGATGATGATCATTATGATGATGTTGGTGATGGTCAGGATGATAACGCCGATGCTGATAATAGTGGTGGCGATGCTGTTTATGGTGCTTGTGATGCAGGAGTGGGCGGAGGATGAAGATGATGACGATGATGATCAGAAATAACGATGACGACGATCACGACGACGACAACGACGATAATGATGACGATGGTGATGATGAGGAAGAATATGTTGATAATTCAAGGGACGATACTGACGATGATGACGACGCTGGCGATGATGACGATGTTGCTGCTGATGGTGGTGATGGTGACGATTGTGATGGTGGTGATTGCCATAGTGATGATGACGATGCCGCTGACGATGACGCCAGATATAATAGTGATGAGGATGGCGATGATGACGATGACGATTATCCCAGCTAGAACTTGAGCGCGCGCGAAGCGCGCGCGATGGTTATAGTATATATATACACATAAATGTGTGTAAAACACTCCGAATGCAGCGCAGCGGAACAGAGAGAGGCGAATTGCAGGGATTAGAGGGTGGAGGTGTTGTTTAAATATTTCGGAGTACTTGTTTGAATGTTTGCATGTTTCATCCAAAATCCTGTAGGGGGACAGGCCCGACCTACGTGTAAACCAGGGGTGGCAGGCACCCACACTCGGCGCCATTGTTTCGAGGTTGCTGGAGGATGGACCTCGACGCAGGAGTGGGAGGGGCGGGTCACCGTCTCCTCTCCTTGCAGGTGCAGCCGTCGGGCCGGAGTGGGGCGTTTCCGGGCGCGGCATAGTACCGCTCTTGGGGAATTGGCTAAGCGAGCGAGCCTTCGGGCGATTTTCTCGTTGGCGATTGGCGACAGGAGGGGACGGAGAGCCCCACCCAGCGATTCCACGAATGGCCGAAGTCCGCCTGAGTTGGCCCCCCGATCCAGGCGAAGGCTCCACGGCACAGCGGTCGAACTCCCTTCCCAGGTGCCCCATGTTGAGGGACCACATTTGAAACCGACCCCTATACCCCCCAGGATTTCTCAAGGGGAGGGTGGGCTACCCTTCGTTCGGGCGCTCCCGAGCGAAGTGAACCCCGCCCTGCCCTTCAGAAGTCGTGGGGGTAGGGGTAGGGTTCGCAGGTGGCCCCCTAGAGGAGGAGGAGGAGGAGGAGGAGGAGGAGGAGGAGGCGGAGGTGGTACAGCTCCGTCCACAGATCGCGCAGGAGCACCGAGCGCGGACGCAACTCGGGGCAGGGCCCCCGGCCACGCCGGCCGCGCCACGCTGGCCCTCGGAGAGTGCCGCCCCCTCGCCCAGCGCCCTTGCGTGCGCCGCCACGTCCGGCTGTACCCAGCGGCCCATCGGTCGTTGAAGGCAGGCATCTTTGGATCCCCAGGTTCCAGTCCAATCTGTTGCAAGCGCCGTCCTGCTTTCAGAAGTGGAAAAACACACAGACACAATGAATCGTCGATTCCCCAGAACACATGCGAAAATATGGGAAGTGGGGGGGAAAACGAAAACCCCCACAACACGGAAACATATGGGGAATCCTGGGATTTGTTTGTATTTATGGAGCAGCTTCACCTTCCGGTCCTCTTTCAGGGGGCGGGCGGACACCGAATCTGCTTTCGACGGTTTCCTGCTCCATGTTCGGCCTGCTGTGCGCACGACCTGTTGTGCTCTTCCAGTTCTGCCACCATCGTCTTTTCGGCGCAGTCCACTCTTATGCATACGTTTTATCCCGACGACTGCACGACCAGACATGGCCGCAAGGAATGCTTGATTGCTTGGTTTTAGCTGGGAAGAAGAAGGAGACGCAACAACAAAAAAAACACATCAAATGTTCGGCCTACTTCTTCCGACCGATGGGCACCGTGCCAGGGCGTCCGCAGGGACGTGGGCAACAAGTGGCTCAACTGAGCGGGCAAGCGCGTGGCCACGCGCGCGCGCCCTGTCTGGGCTCCTGGCCCCGTGGGGGCTGGGCAGGGGCCGGCTGGGACCCCGAGGGAAGCACGTGGCAGAGGGAGGCGGAGGGGAAGGAGGACGAGGAGGAAGGAGAGGGAGGGAGGACTTGGCAGGAATTGGGAGGAGGAGGAGGAGGAGGAGGAGGAGGAGGGAGGATGTGGGAGGAGGAGGAGGAGGAGGAGGACGAGGAGGAGGAGGACGAGGAGGAGGACGAGGACGAGGAGGAGGAGGGGGAGGAGGAGGAGGACGAGGAGGGAGGCGGCGAGGAAGGGGAGAGGGAGATGGAGGAGGTGGAAGGAGGCAGGTGGAGCGAGGAACGAGGAGAGAAGATGGATGACTGATTTGTGTTACCAGTTACCCCGACATGATGGCTTGCACAGGCAGGTGAAGCTACACCAGCTGCATGTGGAATGTCTCGGCATCATTCTCGGCACGCCTTCCAGTCCGAATCCGCCTGTAGTGAGGCTGCATGTTGGTCTCTTGGAACATCTGCACTCGTCAAGAGCCGTGACGCTGACGGCAGCAGGTTGGTCGCTACGACCCGGGAAAAGCCCGCGGCGGATTCCGCCGATAGGTTCCAGGCGAGTCTTCCCTTCGCCGCTTCCTGGCATTCGCCACACCGCTTGCGAGGATCGACAGTGGCCGCATGGCCGCACACACACACACACACACACTGCAACGATAAAGTGAGAAACGCAGCCAGTCCTGAACATGCACTTTGCAAGCAGAGCCGTTCCACTCGCTCTTGTCAGCCGACTCACCGCCCAAGGTCCGATTCTTCACGCTTCGCGTGTCCCCACCAGTTGGTCTATCCTCCTTGGCTCCTGGCGTTGCCAACAGGTCCACAGGTGTCACAGGTGGCACACTTCGGATGACTGTTGGTCGTGCGTCGCATCCGCTGGCGCCGCCTTCATTGTCCCGGTGTCACCCGCCACTGGCTGCGCACGAGCACCCTTGGTACATCTTTGGCATTGGGTGTGGTCCATCCTGCTCGGTTGCATTGCTATGTATTCACAGGTCTTGCTATGCTATGCATGGACCACGGTGCACATGATTGCTCCTGGGGCGTAGGTGTACCTACCTTTGAGGGGTCATTACTCGATCTGTCGGTGTGTGACGCTTCGGCTGGCGCGTCTTCAGATTTCGCGCCATTTTGGCAGCGCGTGCCAGGTTTGGCTAATTTGGTGCTCCCTGGGTTTCCCTGGGCCTTGCAGCTCTGCCCTGGGTTCAGCTCTCCTTCGGATCAGCCTCACGCTCGCCGCAGTTGCTGCTTGCTGCATCCGGCGCCGCCGCGGCCGCCTAGTCGCGCGCGTTAGCCGTCGGTAATTGATTGCTGTCGCGGCCCGACCTATTTCGCCCGCCGCCGGCGCGTTCGCCTGCGGCCGTTAAAAAAAAATGTCCCCACCAGCGGTGCTCCTGCGCGCCACTTTGGCTGCGCTTCAGCTTCGGCTGGCCAATTCACGCGCGCGCAATTCGCTTCGTGGAGGTTCCGGCCCACCTGGCTCAGGCCACCCTGGAGTTTCCTCAGTCTCAGCGGTTGCCCACCCTGGCAGTCGGTTACCCTGACAGTCAGCACCCTCTGCAGCTCGTTGCACGTTTGCAGCCCCTGGCAGTGCAGCAGCCCCGCCCCCTCCTCGGCTACATCCTGGTCCCGTTCTGAGTTGCGGTGTTAGGTTCGCTCCTGCTTGGTTAATTAGGCCCTCGCGCGGCCCGCTCGGACCCTGACTCGCCGCTGTTGCGCTTTCGCCTGCGGCTACCGACAAAAAAGTGGCCCCACCAGCTTTCTGCGCGCGCCGGCAATTAGGTTCGCTAGTGGCCCGAGCCGACTCGACCCGCTGCGGGCGCCCTCGCCTGTGGCCGCGACGAAAAAAATCCCAACCAGCCCATCCAAAAATAATCACCAGGCGAGTTGCCCTGATCAGGGATGTGTAGCAATATGTAGACACGCTGCAAGAGCCACTTGGAGACGGCGACGGCAACGACGACGACGACGGCGACGGCGGCGGCGGCGGCGGCGGCGATGACGACGGCGACGCTAGCGCTCTGGAGCCGGAGGGCCTCCAGTATCGTATGGCCTTCGGCCCATCCCGCCACCGTGCCTGGGCTGCCAAGGGATCCCTCGAGGGCGCGAAGTTATTCGCGCTTCGCGGTTCAGCTCCGATTCCTCCACCCTCTTCTTCTCCCCTGGGAGGCGGCGCCAGAGCGCGAAATTATTCGCGCTTCGCGCAGCGCGGAGCGCGAAACTGGGAGCCCTTTGGGTTACCTGGGTTGTGGGTCAGAGTCCGCAGGACTGCTTCTTGGGCTCTCTGCTGGGCGCTCCCGGGGGCCTCTGTAGGGCGGCTGTGGAGCCCCTTGGGAGCCTCTGGAGGGCATCCTGGGAGCCTCCCGGGGGTCTCTTGGGACTTCCTGCGAGGTCTCTTTGGGGGCTCTCCTGGTAGGGCCTCTTGGGGGCCACTCGGGCGCCTCTTGGGGCCTTCTGGGAGCCTTTCGGGGACGAAGGCTCGAACTGTCCGTTCGGATCTCCCGGCCTGGGCCGCCTCTTGGATTCGTCTTGGGGGCCTCATGGGCCGTCTTGGAGGCTTGGGGCTGTTTTGCGGCCATCTTGGAGGTCTCTTCGGTTGTCTTGTGGCGATATTGGGGGACAATTAGGCCGTCTTGGCGCGTCGGGAAGCAGAAAAGGCGAGAACGTCAAGATCATCCGAAAGCCTTGGGAAAATCATTGATTTTTGCCTCTTGTGGCGTCGTCGAGGCTTCTTGGACAGTCTGGAGGCCATCATGGGCGTCTTGAAGCGATCTTTCGGTCGGCGATTCTCTGCCCTCCTGGACTGTCTGGACGGCCTCCTGGGGCTTCCTTGGCCCGCGTTCGGACCCCTCTGCGGGGGGGACCGTCCCGGAGGCCCACGCGACACGCCCAAGAGCGCCCACGACCGCCCCAGGAGACTGGGGGCATGGCCTCTAAGAAGGTTGCAGCCCCTCGACCTCTCGGGGCTCCGTGAGCCTTGGAGCACTCCGCTTCGTGCCAGAGGCACGGTGACGGATTTTTCTCATTATCGGCGGCGAGCCCGGGGGGGAAGCGAGAAGGGGCGGTTTTCAGAAGGCTAGGAAGTCCCCCAGCCTTCTGAGAAGTCCCCGGAGCCTTCCCCGAAGACAAAGGTCTTTTCAGAAGGCGCGATGGCTTTGAGAAGCCCCGCCGCCTTCTTAGAAGGCCTTCTCCTAATTCCCCCGCTCGCTCGCCGCCGACATACAGTCAGATCGAGGTATATGATCGAGGTCGATTCGGGCAGGGTGCCCTAACGTTCTTCATGTTCGTTGGACTTTCTTGTGCATCCTGGGGAGGGTACCCTTGGATGTTCTGTGCGTTTTGGCTGGCGAAGGGTCTCGTCTTCTTGAAGGATGTTCTTCTGTCTTGGCTGGCGGAGGAGGAGGAGGAGGGGGAGGAGGAGGAGGAGGAGGAGGAGGAGGAGAGGAGGAGGCGGAGGAGGAGGGGAGGCAGAAGAGGAGAGGAGGAGGAGGCGGAGGCGGCGGGGAGGAGGAGGAGGGAGGAGGCGGAGGAGGAGGAGGAGGGGGGAGGAGGGAGGAGGGAGTGAGGAGGAGGAGAGGAGGAGGAGGAGGAGGCGGAGCAGGAGGAGGAGGAGGAGGCGGACGAGGAGGAGGAGGAGAAGGAGGCGGAGCAGGAGGAGGAGGTTGAGGAGGAAGCGGAGGAGGCGGAGGAGGCGGAGGGGGGGGGAGGACAGAGGGGCCATACTGCGCCACACCCGTGTTTTTTTCAAGTGATCGCCTCGGAGAGCCGGTGGGCCCATTGGCGGGCGGCTGCTCGGGCGACGCCGCGCGGCCCGTGCCGGAGCGGCGGCCGCGCGCGCGATGTGAAGAGCCAGAGGCACTGCAGTGGAGCCTCCTCCTCCTCCTCCTCCTCATCCTCATCCTCATCCTACCCTTTCCCCTCCTCCTCCTCGTCCTCCTCCCCCTTCCCCTCCTCCTTCCCCTCCTTCTTCTCCTTCTCCTCCTCCCCCTCCTCCTCCCCCTCCTCCTCCTCCTTCTTCTCCTCCTCCTCCTCCTCCTCCTCCTCTTCCCTCCTCCCTCCTCCCTCCTCCCTCTTGCAGGGACGAGCACGCTAGACAGCGAAGCTGAGCGTCGCATCATCACCTCCCTCTTGCGGGCCCAGCCCCGCCTCCCTCCACCTTGTGCCCGAACCCTGCCCTACAGTAGAGGCCCATGCCAAGGGACACTCTGCTTGCTTCCAGGGTGCCCTGGGTTTCTTGGGATTCGATGGTTTTGCTGTGGGAAGCGTGGCGTTCCCACACCAAGAATCCACGGTTGGGTTTCTTGTGGAAGGTTTCATGTCGACTGGGCTCCACTGTACGGGGGTTGCCCAAGGTGCCCCTGGCCAAAGGTGCCCCCAGCTTTCCGCTCGACTGTGGAGCCCCCGGGGCCCTCGGGGCCTCGCGAGGGGTGCTCCGGAGGCGATGCGGGCCTCCTTGGACATCCTGGGGGTACCTTGGGCCAGGGGTGCTTCTAGCAACACCTTGCTGTCGGTGGCGAGATCCGAACCCTGTCCTCGCCGATGCATGATTCATGAGTCGGGGTTCGGGGTTCGAGGTTTTCATTGGCCGCCGCCGGCTTCCCAGCCTCAGGATGCTTTCCAGCGGCTGCGCCTCGCCGAGAGCATTCCAGGGATGCCGGGATCGTCCCGAACGGCCGCCGGATTGCGGAGGTGTGACCCGAAAAAACACCGGGGGGCAACCATCCTCGCCGATCAGCGATTCAGGCAATTCGATGGGCGGGGGGGGCAGAGTTCGGCATTCGTCGCACACGAGGCGAACTCAGAACCCTGGCCTCTTACTCACTCAGTAGCAGCGATGGTGGGGTGGGGGTAGGGTTCGGACGTCGCTACCCATTCTGGCTCTCCTCCCTTGCCCCGCCGTCGCTGGCGTCCGTTGCCAACGCCGAGCGGGGCGTGTCCAGGGAGGTCGGGATGCAACTCCTGAGGTTAGAGCCGGAATCGGCGCTTATATATCCTTTCGTCGAAGGCAAACCTAATCTGGCCGAGTAGGGTTGAATCCGGTCAGTTACGCCTATACATTGCGGCTCAACCCAGGTTTAATCCGGCCTGGCCTGGCTCAATGCCCCTTCATCGGGCCCTCCCCGCGCGCCAGGGAGCGGGGTCCAGCGCAGATCCAAGAAATCCGCGCGGAGCGCCACACAAGTTTACGTTTAAGTCGGGCCTGTCCCTCTTCAGGAGGAATATTCAAAAATAGTTTGAAAAATAGTCTGGGGACGATTTATTGATCATGTTTGAATAAGTTTCAAATTTTTTGGGTAGGGGAATGACGGAGGGGGCAGGAGGCACACAGAGAAGCTCGGGCCTCCCCGCGGAGGGGGGGGTCGGTAATTTCCCTGTCCATTCCGTCTTTGGCGTCGATTGGCGCCCTGGGGGTCGATGAGACGGCGCCGATTTGGGGTCGCTTCGACGAGCGTCGATTTAGCGTCGACTGGCGTCGATTCGCAAGAGCCGACAAGATGGTACGGGAGGTGCCCATGAGTGGCCACCGAAGGGGGGGGGCCTGATGGGCCGATTTTCCACCACCACCACTACCATCGCTGGGAGAGGAGGAGGAGGAGGAGGAGGAGGAGGAGGAGGGAGGAGGAGGAGGAGGGAGGAGGAGGGAGGAGGAGGAGGAGGAGAGGAGAGGAGGAGGAGGGGGGAGGAGGCGGAGGAGGAGGAGGAGGAGGCGGAGGAGGCGGAGGAGCGGAGGAGGCGGAGGCGGCGGAGGAGGAGGAGGAGGAGGAGGAGGAGGAGGAGGAGGAGGAGGAGGACCTCCCGATCCTCCTCTCTCCCCCGCCCTGCCTAATGGCAGAGGTGATGGAGCATTGGCCCATCCGGGCGGGGGCGCGGAGGTGCCCCTGCCGCGCTCCGCTCCTCGCGGGCCGCCTGGGCTTCGCGGAGCCCCCTCCTCGCCGCGGCGGGCGGCCCGGAATGTCTCGAGGACACGGCCAAGACGCTGAAATAAGGAACACTTTGGATTCGGAAGGTGCTCAATGTTCCTTAGGTTCCTCCGTTGCTGTTCCTCTTGCCCTCCTCGGGCCCTGGAGGCGCTCTCGGGGCCAAAAAAAGGGCCTCGTTTCTTGCATGGCGGTCCTGCTTCCAGCGGCCCGACCGTGTGGCCGCGTCTCGCGCGGCGCGAGGCGCCCATTGCGCTACACTTCAGTCGGGCCTGTCTTGGCATCGCTCGGACGTGTGCGTTTCTCCTTCGGCGAGGACCATCGAGGAGCATCCTTGATCACTTGGCGAAAAAAACACGCACGAAACCGACAAAAAAACACAGGGAATGGACGTTCGAGCGATGGCCAGCTGTGCCTCTACAGGAGGAGTATTCAAAACTAGTCCAGAATAGTCGGGGGACAAATGGTTGCCTATGTATTCGTACGTGTGTTTTGTTTTCGCGTCTATGTTTAAGTTGTCGCCCAGAGTCTGCCTTTCGGAGGGCCCGCCCGACCGAGGCTACAGTCAACCCGCATAGTGATGATGAGCGACTTTTCAAGGCTGCCCTTGCATCCTTGCCCCTTCACTCCATCCTTGGCGGCGTTCGTTGGCCAGCCTCGTTCTAAAAGCGTTGGCATGGCCTTCCAGGGCCCTTGCATCCTTACCGCGCAAAACATGAACGTCTATTCTAGACGCTTCGTGTAACCCCACCACCCCATCCAGAGACGATGCCCAGAGGAGTTGCCTCGATCAGAGAAGTTGGCAGTACACAGAAGAAGGTTCCCTCTTGGAGCGATCTTGGGACACTCTCGGGCGCTCTTGGGGCCGTGTTGAGGCTCTCTTGGGCCTCTCTTGCGCCTTGGCGGCCTCTTGGCGGGCCCAGTGGCGTATTTGAGCGTCTTGGGCGCCTCGGGGATCGTCTTGAGGCCTCGTAAGGGTATCTTTGGCAGCCTCTTGGAGGCGTTTTGGGCGCCTCTTGGGACCGTCTAGGTGCCTCTTGGGGCCATCTTGTAGCGCTCTTGGGGTCTTCAGGGGCGCTCTTGGGGCGATATTGGAGGTCATCGACCGAATGGTAGGAGGAGGAGGAGGAGGAGGAGGAGGAGGAGGAGGAGGAGGAGGAGGAGGAGGAGGAGGAGTGGTAGGAGGAGCCGGATAAGGATGTGGAACATGAAGGGAGGAGGAGGATAACCACTTTGCGATCAGACGAGCCTCTTCTGATGTCTGTTGTTTTTTGAAGCCTCCTGGGTTCGTCTGGGGGGCATCTTGGGTGCCTCGGGGATCCTCTTGAAGCCTCTTGGGGGGCCTCTTGGGAGCCTCTTGGGGCGCCTCTCGGGCCGTCTGGGCGCCTCTTGGGGCCCTCTTGGGGCGCTCTTGGGAGCCTTGGGGGCGCTAGTGGAGTCAGGACATCCATCAAAAACGATGGGTTCCTCAATTAGCGCTGCCTCTCAGGCGACCCACACATCGCCTCCTGGACCCCTCTCGGAGCGCTCTTTGGGCGCTCTTCGGCGCTCTTGGGGCCGTCTTGGGTCTCTCTTGGGCCTCTCTTAGGGCCCTTAGGCCATCTTTGAGCCATCTTGAGGCCTCGGAAGGCTGTCGAAAGCGAGCGGGCCACGATGCAAACATCAGTTGTTGAAGGATTTCGGCCTCTTGGAGGCCTCCTTGGGGGTCTTGGATGCCTCTTGGAGCCGTCTTAGGGGCGGTCTTGGGGCCTCTTGGAGCTCTTGGCATCCTAAGGCATCTTCGGAGCCATCTTGAGCCATCTCAGGCTATCTTGGAGCTCCTCTTGGGCTCTCCGAGGCGCTCTTGGAGCCGTCTTGGGCCATCTTGAACGCTCCAAGTATTAGGGGAAAGAAACAACGTCCAGGTTCAGGGGAGGGGGTAGGGGGTAGGGTAAAGCTACCAACCCGCCCGCAAGCCGTGTAGCTCACTCCCACCCGCCCTGAGCCTGAGCCTGAGCATGTTCAGCGGTCGTCTTTGGATGGACAGCTACTAGGAACCAAAACCGACCCCAGGTGCGCGACCTTGGGCGAGGCGCGCCACGCGTGCCAGGGGCGCCACGCGCGCCAGGCACCCCCGGAGCCCGAGCGTGCCAGGTACGCCTGGTGCGCCAGATGCGCCACGTGCTCCGAGTGCGCCAGGTGTGCCGCACACCCCAGCCGCGCCAGGTGCGCCACGGTCGGGGCACTTGCAGAGTGCGTTAGGTGCGGTTGCGCAGGTCACAGTACACATCGGGAAAGATGTTGGCCCCCACCATTTTTGTTTAAAACAAATGCCAATCATTGTGTCTGATGCCTGCGCACAGCAGGCCTCGCGCCACGACCCCCGCGGTCCCTTTCAAAAACAATTTGACAGTGATTGCGGGATGGCCGCGCATGATCCAGATTTAGCCGCGAGGCGCATGTTGTATTGTTGTTCGTCAGGGATGGTAGCCTTGCGCGCAGCAGGGAATATGCTGACACCCCCGCCGTCCTTGTGATAAACAATGCAAAGCGCTCGCGGGCCTCACGAACATGACTCAAAACTTCGGCCCGAAGTGTACTTTGTATTGTTTTTTGACAGGGGTGGTGGGGGGGGCCGCATCGGGTTGGCCGCGCATGCTCCGAATGTGGAGGCAGAGTGCGGTTCGCATTGATTTTATGCAGGGGTGGTGGGGGGCGGGTCGTCATGGTGTCCCCTTGGTTCCTAGTTGGACGCCGGTCGCCTGGGGGAGGGAGTGTATATTGGTAGGGAACAGTGACAAACCCATCCCCCAAGGGGGAGAGGGTGTTGGAAGAGGAATCTCCCTAGACCACCTACTCCCTAAAGGGCTGGTGGGGTTCTCGGAGGTCCGCCTGGCAACGCCTCCTGCGCAGCCTCCGAGAGCTCGTGCGTGCGCCGTTGCCTGCGCCTCGCTTGTCCGAGGATGGCCAGTGGAGGCAGCGGTGCTCGGCCTTCAGTGGGTCGGCCTCGCAGGGGTGCGGAGAGGGGGTGCG